ATATAAATTGAATCCAAATTGTCTTCATCACAATCAAAATAACTCATTACTATTTCATAAAATGTACCATGAAATGACATAAGTAACCAATTCAATAAAACGCAATGAACATGACAGAATAAATCGATGGCGCTCGAAAAGATTCAAAAATCACCCATTGTGAAATATATTACGCCAACACAACCAAAACATCAAAATTATCTAGGAAGGACACCCATATTAGATGAGATCACCACACAAAAAGAAACACAAAAGTTGCCAACATGCAAAGCTTACAATAAATAAAAAATCACGTGAGGAAAATGACAAGTTTTAATTTTATTTATTTTGAAATTTAATACATATAATAAAAAAATCAATTAGCAATCTCGTATCAATGTCAAATCTCAAAATTCACAACTCGCATACCTACAGTGCCGCCAACATTTCTTCTATCCAATATCCTACACACCCTAAGGTTCCAACACACCCCATCTCTTCTAGCCTGGCACAATACAGGGCCTAGCTCCCTTGTTCTCTAGCATTTTCCTCTGCTCACACATTGCTTTGTTCCCTCTCTTCTTCCTCACTTCCACAGATCTGCCTAATCTCCCACTCCTCTCTCTTGATCATGTCTCGCATCATGCTTATTGTCTGATCTCTCGATTTCGCACACCACTAGCCCCTCCTTTCTCCCTCTTTGTTCACTCGCTCTCTATCTCTTGTCCTTCCTCTTCCGCTTGACGGAACGCTCTAGCATCAAATAGCACCCACCAAAAAGTACATAGCCTTAGCCTCACGACAAACTCATTGCTACCTGTTATATTTCCCTTTCACCATAACCTACTTTTCGTCGACAATCGCACAACAACTTACGAAACTCATCTTCTTCGGCTTCTTCGCAATACTGTCACTTCATCGCCAACTATATTGTCATCTCCTTCATATCTTCTCTTTTCTCTTCCATCATGTCTTTTAGTTTTGTACTCCTCTCAACCTCTCTTTACCAAACCTCTTTCTCTCATTTTCTCTCTCTAACTAGAGAGCAAAAACTCCATTCCCCCCTCTTTCTCTCTTCGAGTGTGTGTTCCCCCTCTCTATCCCTACAATTGGGAGTGTGTAAAAGTAAGAGAAAAAAAGGAAGAAAAAAATGGATAAAGGAAAAACATTTGGTGCATATCCAACACTACAAATTTGTTGTTTCATCATGGCCAACTACATCTCATTTGAAGTCCCGTTTCAATTACTCGAGGAAGAAGAAACGATGAGTTGGAAGAGGAAATGAGGAAATTTGAGAAGAGGAAGCAAGTCGTCGGGAAGATGAAGAGGGGAGGGAGGATAACGCGAGAAGGGTCGGGAACACAAAAGGATATATTTGTGTATAAATTTACTTGTAGAAGGGGCAGAAGAGGCAAGAAATGGCTTACCTAGAGAATCAAAAGGTGAGTGCTGGAGAGACTTGATCCCATGCTATCGAGCCAAAAAAGAAGAAGAGGTAGTTGAAGAAGGTGGTGGCTCGGATGTGCGGTTAGACTCACTGCGCTAGGTCTGGTCGAGCCAGCGACACCGTTCTCACGAATAGAAAGGATAAAGTGACGTCTCTATTAAGCAGAGGAGGAAGAGGCAACGCCAGCATCAGTGTCGTGCGGCCAATCAAAGGAAAGAAACAAGCCCTTGTGCGTAGGATGGAGACAGAGTTGCGCGCAGAGGATTCTCGCACGGATTAGGGTGCGACTGAAGAAGGTAAGTTTCAATAATGTTTATTAAATTGTTTTAATAATAAATTTATAATATATATATATATATATATATATAAAATAGAAAAATAAGCATAATTTTATAGAGTAAAATAATGAAAATTTTACACTCGCATGATTTAAAGTTAAAAGTTAATTAAAATAATTGAAATTTATAATAAAATTAAAATTTCATAGAAATATTATGTTTATTTTAGGATTTCAATTTCACAAGAATCGACATTAAAACAAATCCAAAAAGAAATTAATCAATATCGAGATCAGTACTCATAATTTTAATCTATGATAATATTTTGATACTTCTCCACTATTTTGCATTAATAAATAACAATACTTGCACAGTAATTATTTTAAATTATATGTTTTTTCTTTATTAGTCACGTTGTTATGAATTTTTTTAGTTATTTATTAACTGGTATTGGGATATGTTATATGTAGTATATTGAATTAAATGTGATAAAAACATGAATGATATATTTATATTGATTGTTTGTATATGCATGACTAACTATGATGGGGTCACCCCTTTTATGACACTAACGGGTGAACCCTAAGGTACCGTACACGTAAATGAAAAAAAATATTGATACTGAAGTACTATAAGTAGTTTAATTTTTAGATGGTGCTCCTGTGACGGTTATACATATATAAAATGATATAGACGTCATAGTTGTATAATAAAATCTATTAAATAACATCAAATATTTGTATTCATTTATTAAAAGTTTAACTGACATGAATATTTATTTTCTTTTCCCTTCTATTACTGTATTTTATAAGTATGAGTATTCACTAGCTCTTTTTAGCTCCTTGTCATTTTAAACTAACCTTTCATGTGTAATTAATTAATTAAAAGATGAGCAATATAAGAGAAAATATTTATAAAATGCACGAACAACATGTTATGAGATAAAATTTAATTGTAGCATCTTAAATTAATTGTTTTAGTGACACTTTCATTTGTAAAATGTTATTTATAGAAAACGAAAATATAAAAAAATTTAGTTCCAAGTTCCAACCGTTCGACCGCCTATACCCGTCCGACCGCTTATACCCATCTTGGTCAACTCCAAAACCGGATTACGTCGTGATAGCGCAAGTATAAAAATACAATACTTTAAAATTCCACAAAATCTTGTTTATGATGTGTTTGACACAATTAGCAAAACTGTGCACATTATTCTCAGTGTCGTGGGAAAATTCTTAGGCAACTATTAAGACACAATATGTGAGCCCTGTGCATTCTTTTCATAGCACGATGCAAAAATTTATATACATTACAAATTTTTCCTTAAGGGTATCCCATGCACGTTTCTTTTTTAGCATGTCAAGTTTTGAAGACCATGACAGAGTGGCTTGTGATCTAGACCATGCACGTATTTCTTAGCATAATGTGCTAGCCCAAACTCCCCATAAATACCCTTAAGCAAGGGAGATGATATGAGATTGCTAAAATTTTTAATAAATTTGTAAAGAACTTTAATGAGCATGAACAAAACCTTTCAATGAGCCTTGGATCTTGGATCGTGCTATACATCACACCAAACAATTTGAAAAGAACCATCATGTAATAGAATAAGAGCATATAAGGTCCCTAAGAACTGGACAACAACAAAATAAAACCTTTTAATGAACGATGCTACATCTTGTATTAGATGAACATAAACGAATCCAAATGGAACACATAACTAGACAACAAAGGGCTTACAGTGAATTTAATAAAAAACAATTGCATTCAGAACTCTTAGAATTGTCGACCGAAAGTGAAGTAAAACATAAATTCTGTGTGGTGCCTTTATTTATAGGCCAAAAGTATGCTTTAAAGGGTCGATTTGAACAATCATATGGATTTAAATGCAAGCAAGCAAAATTCAGTCCTAAATGAACATCAGGAATCTAAATTGGAAAAAATTTTATTGGATCTGCAGTACATATAAACAAGCAAATAGAAGGCAGACTTTAAAATCTCTAAAAGAAACTCCAACCCAATCATCAAAGCAAATTCAGCAATTCTAAAATTGTCTTTTTTTTCAATGTTTAACATAATAAAAAAACAATATATGCCATCATCATCAAGCATCCTTAACAATAGCTGATGCTTAGGAACCCATATAACTATAGCTCAGGATACATAAAAAATTGACTAAAAAGAGACCTGTCAAATTTATCAATGAGTTAATTAGCCTCAAATTATTTAATGGCACTCTAGTTATAGAGATTTTAATGTGAATGGCATATTCAAACCTAAATAACCAAATGAATAACATCACTAACTTTAAATAAATGATAAGTCGATATTGTCAACATGAAACCGATTGATCACAAATGCCCTATGATCGTAAAATAAGAAGTTGGAGAGAGGAACAATTAAGGAGCTCCTTAGATTAAAAACTCATGGAATTGTTCAACGAGGGATTCAGATCCTATTCTTAAATTAGATGGGTAATTAAGTTTAAAGAAAAAATTCAGGCCTCTTTTTCCAGGATAAGAAATAGCATACATATTTAGCAAATTTTGAATATTATGATGCAAATAAAGTCGAATTTTATCTATGATTTCATTGGAAGTTCAGACTAATCAATTAATTACCCGCTTTGACATCATTTCTATACCACAAAAGGTTAAAATAATATTTTTTTTCTTTACCCAAACTCTTCTTTGTCATTTTTGGTGATCATTACCATCATAATCATCATAATGATCCTTATGCTCAACCAAGCTATTTTCCAGCTATCTCTATATTAAAAATTCATAACTGTCTAACGTTAAGCAGATAAAGAAGGAACTTTTTATGTATTAAAGCATATATGACTCATTTTATACGATTTGAGCCATTCAATACATAAAAAAGAGCAAGGGGGTTACACGTTTTCAGTCATGAGTATTTGATGTATTTGATGATGATCAATTTCACATTTCACAAAAAAAAAAAACCATGTCAAGAGTTGCTATCTCCAACAAAAAGTATCAGGTCAATTTTAAGAAGCAGAAGAAAAAAAAAAGCATTTGCATTATATTCTCAGTCAATTACGCTTGATGAAATTTCTCCCGCAAAAAATTATTGGCATTGGTCTAGCAGTTTTATTCAGAGGCTATTCTTTTTTCTTCCAAAAAAAAAGCGAAAAAAAAAATATTTTTTTCTGAGAACATGAATAGAATGGTACAACCTGCTCAATGAAAGAAATCAAAAAGCATGTCGTTGAAAAAACTCTTGACACAATTAAAATTCTCCAAAAAGAATGAGAATATGGTATAGAAAATTACTTCGGCTTGGATCAAACTTCACAATTTCTTTATTGTCTGTGACTTCCTCTCTGGAGGCAGTTGCTAGCTCATGGACATGTTCCTTTAACTCCATCGTCAGTTTTCCCTTTCACGCTGTAGATCCAAACTAAACTTGTAAATAAAAAAATGTTCCTTTCAAGTCTTCAGTCAACAGATAAGAATCGTCAAGCAAACTCATTTGAAGGTGACAAACAAATAGGGTTAAAAAAACAAAAAAAAAAACATGAGCAAAGTGAGATAAATTGGAAACGTAGATTTAATAGTCTGTTTTATGGAGTACGTAACAATCTCAATATGTTTAATTTACCATGGTGGATAGAATCATTGGAAATGTTGATTGTAGCTTAGTTGTCATACACATCACCATTGGTGCTTTAGTATGAACTTTTAAATCTTCTAGAAGCCTTCTGAGCCACATCCTTCAAAAAATTTAATGGGGCATGGCGGAGAACTCAGTATTTGCACTGCTTATGGTAACTAATATCTACTCCTTCCCCGAGCAATTATATTTCCCCATTCAAATGAGCATTAGTTAGATACAAATTTATGATCAATTATAGATATCAGAAATTCAATTATAACTTCTTCCTTCATGTCTAACATTCAAGTTGACTATTAAAATCATGGAATATAGGGTATTTATTTAGTTTTATCTACATTTGGTTGGGAGATGAATGAAAATAAATGGAAAAAACCGTCATATTTTCTTTTGAAATTTAGACGTGTCTACTGCACACAAATTTGATTGTGTTTCCGCGTGAGCACAACAAAAAACCATGATGCAAAAACTACCAAAATAAACAATATTCTCATTAATCCTGATCTAAAATTCCACTCCATTCCTAGAAGAGCAGCAAACCCTCTCAAGCACGGTAATGGATAAATTCTCCTGCAGCCTATAAATGTTTAGAGAATTAGTTCTAAAGTCGTCTCAGATAACTACTGAAATGGTAACTTGCAGGATTCTATGGAAATAAACAATGAGCAGCTAGACGTTAATTCGTTGTGTAAATTAGAGCCATGCACTGCTCTCAGACAATTGAGATAAGTTTTATTCTTAAAACAAAAGTTGTAACGAGTATTACATCCTAAAGCAAATATTTCTACGAATAAATTGCTTAGCAGATTCATCTTCAGGGCAAGGCTTCATCAAAATAAATCAAAATAAACAAGCCATGCACTGCTCTCAGACATTTGAGATAAGTTTTATTCTGAAAACAAAAGTTGCAGTGAGTACTTCATCCTAAAACAAATATCTCCATGAATAAATTGCTTTGCACATTCATCTTCAGGCCAAGGCTTCATCAAAAGAAAGCAAAATGAACAATAATGTTAATCAAATGAAAGATCTATGAAGAAACTGGATCATGAACAGACATGACCTCTTCCATGGATCATGAAGAGAATAGAAAAAATTCCCATCTAGCTAATGTTTGGTAGATTTCATTTATACAAAGCTACATATGAAAAGAGGGTTCTTTTAAGGGAAAAATAGAGTAGGAATCGCTTAACTGAAGATGATGAACGAACTCCCTCTGGGCGGCTCCGGTCGCTTCCCGTCTTTATCGAGACGGAAAGCCGTCGATGCAATGGTCGTCCGCCATCTTCCACAGGCAACTGGCTTCACGCGGGGACCTATGACTGCTAACGGTGGGATAGAGGTTCGGGTCGATCTCAATCGGGATCCTGAGAGCCTCCGATTAGATTTAAATTAGGGATCTTTTACTTCACATGTCCCCCTATGCTAAAAATTATCTTTTTTATTTATAAAATATGATCGAATTTTACTTTGAAAATAACGTCAATTTTTACAACATAATACTTATTTTAAAGACCCTCCTTTAATATTGAGTTGAATAAGAGTCAAAACAATATCGTAATCATGTTTTATAAAATTGTAACTTTTTAAACTCTTGATTGAAGATAAGTTCAAACTTTCATTTGTAGAGTAGTTCAAACAAAAATCTAATAAATAGTGCATCAAATGAATGGAGACGAGCAAAGTAGTGAATATTCGAGCCCAAGCTCATTTACGAAAGCTCTCTTAAAGCTCAACTCAAGCTTAGGGTTGTGTTAATAATGGGCTTATTTAATAATAAGGTTTGAGCTTGGTTCCTATTGGGATTATCAATTTTATTAATGGGCATCTTATTTAATAACATAAAAAGTCTTAATTGAGTTGTATTTGATGTTAATTCGGGCAACTTATTTAAAATTTTGAACTAGCCTTATGAAATTGAGCTTTTTTAACCTAAAAGATAGGATTTTAAACATTATTGTATATTGTCAAGACTTAATTGAGCTTTTCAACGAGATTTTCTGTAAGCTATCACCAAAAGAGAATCAAAAAAGTTAAATAAGATACTTATTTTATTATTCTTTATTGTAAATGTTGCAAAACATTTTGATGTCATATTTATAGTTGAGGTTTAAAGAGAGGGCAACACAAAGATATGGATATGGTATGGTTAGGTGAAAAAATTAAGTGGTCATCCGAATACAAGTATAAAATTCATGTTGTAATATTCCCCCCTTAAGATAGGTTGTATATGTTCTTAGCAGACATCTTACATATAAGTGTAGATAGGGTAGTGGGTGGAAGAGCTTTGATAAATATATTGGAGTTTTTATGTTCAGCTTAGATAGGTATTAGCTTAACATAACCATCTTCAACTTTTTCGTGAATAAAATGATAATCAATTTCTACATATTTTGTTCATTCATAGAAGGTGAGATTGGTGGAGATGTGCATGGCTACTTCATTGTCGTAGAGGATAAGATTTGAGGTGGGTCTTTGGATGTCAAAGTATTGCAATAGTTGTCTTAGCCGTGTTATTTCTCTAACTATGGTAGCTAATACTCTATAACAATTTAATTGATAACCTAAAGACTTTATTTTACTTTTTGGCTTTCCATGATATTGAAGAATCTATTAGAAAATGCAGAACTTGGCGACATATCAATTTGTATCTGAGAATACCTCTGATTGGCATCCGAGAAGGCTTTTAATTGTTGGGTGGTATTTGTTAAAATGAAAAGTCATTGCCTTGGTGTAGATTTGGGGCAGTAAAGAACCTTACTGACAACAAGTAAGTGTGGTGTATGGGTTTGAGTTATGAACAAAGTTGATATGTGGGTGATAAATATAATGTATAGTCGAAAGAAGGTAAGATAGATGAGAAGTCCCACTAATTATCGATATGCATAACTTTCTAGAAGTTGCTCCCAATATTTGGCATTAAGGTCATCAACATGATTCATAAGTGTGTTGGCCCTTCCATAAGTTATAAATTATAATGTAATTGACAATGTGTTATACATTACTGTTCTTTAGCAATTTTGAGAACCAAAAAAATACATGAGGTTGCCCAAGACTTAAAGCTTGAACTAAATGTGTGAAATGGTCTTTAAAGATTTGACTGGATGAGCTGCAAGTTTTGCAAGAAATATATTATCGACAGAGACTAATATAGCAAACACATTATAATTTTTCCTGTAGTGAATAGAAAGTGATCAGATTTAGATTGTGTAAACTCAGAATAAATTAAATATTTTGATAGTTTAGATCAACATTAGCAAAATTCTTGTTTAAGATCATATAATGATTTTTTGGGCTTGCATAAAAATTTGTGACTTTGGTCAGCCATCTCCACTTTACCTTTGTAACCCGATGATAAATTCATATAGACTTCTTAATCTCTATGTAAGAGCACATTATTAACATCTTGTTGATTGGGCATTCAATTTTTGATTTTCGAAAAAAGGCAAAGGCAATTTAATTGCATTCATTTTGGCGATAAGAAATAAAGTTTCAAGATTTTCAAGCACTTTTGTTATTTGTAACCCTATGCAACTTGTCAAAATTAATTTTTAATGAAAGAACCATTAGGGTTGTACTTAATTTTTTATGTCCATTTGCACCCAATAAATCATTTTCGTTATAGCAGTCAAACAACATATCAATTTTAGCTATGTGTGAGTGCATGTAATTTAGCTTTCATTAACTTTTATGACTTAGGAATACAAGCAACTTGTTGGTGATGATATTATGGTTTGAAATCACTAGACATACTAAGTGCAAAATTTTAGTGGTTTTTCATCACTCGAAAACTTTGCTGATATAGAGATTTGATTGGGCAAGATGACGTTGGTGTGGGTGATATGTGTCATATGTATGATCAATTTTGCATTTAAACACATGTGTCATATATTGCAAAGTCACATAGAGGTTAGATTTTTAATTGTATTTCTCTTTTCTCTTATCCAAACTAGGAAGTGATTATATGGAGAGAATTTAGGTGCAATTCTTGTCATTTTGAAAATATATTCATGTGAATTTGGTTTTTTGCTATTGCAAAAATCTCAATTTTCATGTTAGACCAGTAATTATATTTCCCTTTCCTCTTCTTCAACTACAAAAATACTTAGGACTTATGCAAATATCTTTGTTTAGTTATTAGATTAGTAACGACAACCTTAGAGCTTAATAAGATCCTTAAAACAAATAATGCTCCATCATTTGTCATCAATCTTATCATATAGGGCGCAAAACCTAATAGTATCTTTTACAATTGGTGATAGGTTGAGCAATTTAATTTTATTTTTCATTGCTATTCTATTATATATTTCAAATACCAAATGTATGAGAACCCACAAATTCAAAGCCAGCATCTCAACAGGCATTTATAGTCATCCAACGTCTAAACATGTTGATACTTGCATGTGTTCAACAAAGTTTCTCCTTGATTTAACCAATCAGTATGTCATACTGGGCTTTTAAGCAAGAACAATATGAAAATTTATTGTATTTTAGTTTTTTATACAAACATATATATTTATATACATGTATATTATAAAAAAAATGTATTTTTTACACACATATCTTAATTTATATTTATGTATATACATACATACATGTATACGTGTATTAAGTTTATATATATATATATATATATTCGCACTGCTTCTAAATTCCGAGATATTCACAATAACAGAAAATTAAATTCGCATGTATATATTTTAAAAATAATTAACATTGTTACTAAATTTTCTCCAAATAATTCTTTCAAAGTTTGAACAAGAGGAAAAAGAAATGTCATTACTGATTTAACATGAAAACTAAAACATTTCCAATGGGAGACATTTAAATTTTCATTGATATATTTTGAAAAGAATAAACAGTGCTCAAAAATTCGCTTCATACAATCTTTAATGGTTTGAGGAAGAGTAATGGAAAATACCATAAATGATCTAAAATGATAATTGAGGCATTTTATAATAGTAGAAAACCAAATTCTCATGCATATATTTTCAAAATAACTAGCACCACTTCTAAATTCTCCCTAAATAATCTCTTCAATGTTTATTGCAAAAACAAAATTCTCTTCGACAGAAGAATTTTTAAAAGAAGAATCATTGCTCCAAAATTTTCATTGATAAATTTATCAAAACTGAGACATTTGAGATAGAAAAAAATAAAATTCTCATTGATATATTTTCAAATGAAGAAACATTGCTCCAAAATTTTCTCCATACAATCCATTCAAAGTTTGAAGAAGAGTGTATGGAAATGTCATCACTGATCTAACCTGAGAATTGAGACAGAATTGAGACATTTACAATAACTACAATAACAAAAAAAAAAAAATTTGCATGTATATAATTTTAAAATAACTAACACTGAACCTAAATTATCATCAAACAATCATTTAAAAGTTTGAACAAGATGAAAGAGAATGTCATTTCTGACCTAGCATTAAAACTGAATTTTTAATAGCAGAAAATCAAATTCTCATTGATATATTTTGAAAATAAGAAAATTTTTTAAAAAATTCTCTCCATACAATAATTTCATAGTTTAAAGAAAAGTAAAGGGGAATACCATCACTGATCTAACATAAAATTTGAGATATTTGCAATAACAAAAAACTAAATTCGCATATATATATATTTTAAATAATTAGTACTGTTTCAAAAATTTTTTCAGACAATCCTTTCAATGTTTGAACAAAATGAAAGGAAATTCCCATTGTTGATCTAACATTAAAACTAAAATATTTTTAATAGTCAAAAACTAAATTCTCATTGATAAATTATGAAAACATGAAGCACTGTTCCAAAATTCTCTTCATACAATATTTTCACAATTTGAAAAAAAGTAAAGGGAAATACCATCACTAATCTAAAATGAAAATTGAGACATTTAGAATAACACACACACAAACACACACACACACACACACACACACACATATATATATATATTCAAAATAACAAACATTGCTCTTAATATATA